ATTCATGAGGGATCCACCCCCATGACTCAATCAGTTTCCAGCACTGCCACAGTGGGGATCAGATTTCCACATGAGTTTTGGTGGGGACAACACATCCAAAGTCTATCACTGAATGGTATAACTTGCCCCAGTGAGTGGTGAAGTGGGGTTGGAACCCAGAACCATCTGACTCAATGCAAGGAGGATGGATGGCTGGAAAGACAGAGGGTCACGTAGGTGGACAACGTCTGTACCCCACCCCCAGCCCATCCTGGGGGAGTTGCACAGAGTAGGTGCCTGGGTGGACAGAGGGGAAGGCTGGTCACACTCTAATAAGAACACAAAGTTCAAATGCAGGGGACACAGAATAGAACATGGAGCCCCATGGCCAGGGGCAGAGCAAGACCAGGACCTCAAAGGTGGGTGTCAGGTGGAGTCAGGAGTGGCATAAGGGTAAGGTGGGAGCAGAGACCTGGAACATTGTTCCCCAAGGCCACAGGTGATCCCAGGTCAGGCGTCTGGGGGTGGGTGAGGCCGACCATCTTAAAGGTAAAGGGCAGAGGATGGGGGTGAAGGTGGTGGGTAGGGCAGATGCTTTCAACAGAGGGGTCATGAATGCTCTCCCTGCGGTGGAAACTTCTGCCCAGAGATGGGAGTAAAGTGAGGGAGGGAGCCCCATGGAGACCTGAGGGGATGTCCCAGGCAGAAGGAGCAGCATGGCACAGCCCTGGGGAGGTGGGCAAGGCCCGTGTGGCCAGAGCAGGGCTGGGAAGCCTCACTGAAGCTCTGCTTTCTCATCCCAAAAGCTGGAGTGATGAGATGCTGGTGTGAAGAGTAGAAATGAGGTATCAGATGCAACACATAACACAAAGTTGATCCTCAGTAATGGCCTCCATGACGGTCCTTTCTCTGGGCACATTCTGTGGTGCTGGTTTGTAAAGACTGGCAAAGGTCTTCTCCAACTGTACCTCCCATTCTCAATCATATCCCTCCTCCTCCTGGAGCACTCCATGGCTCCCTCTTACCCAGATCTACTCTGCTTTTGGTTTCCCAGTCTTTCTTCTCTTTCCCCCCTCCAATCCCACCTACTCCTACCTCTATTCCTGAGACCCCTAGTTTCTGTCTCCGGTCTTTTTGGAGGGGACTCTGTGTTTCTCAGGCATCCATCTATCTCCCAGACCGTGAGGTTGTAGATGACTTTTATCTATTTTTTCTTTCTGTTTTTTTTTTTTACAGTGCTTATGTATTGCTTTTAGTAATTAATAAAAAACTAAAAAGTTTATTTTTAATTTAAAAATGACTCATATACACAGACAGACACATACGAACTGTTCATATTCATTTGTCCTCAAAGAATTTGGGGCCTCAATTTATTAATTTCCTCAAGAAGATAGGTGCAAGTCCCCATTCAGTGACTTCTCCGTGTTGTGGATCTTTCCTAAACTCACATGCACGTTTACCCAGAACACGGAGGTAGGACTTCTGAGCCTGGCTAGTTTCTAAACTGGTCACCTCAGATGTCCCAGGGCTTTAGACTTCAGTGGGACAGGTCTCTCTGGCCTAGTCTAAGGAAGTTAGATTGTGAACACAGCTTGGTAATTGCAGGAGATTAGAAGCAACGTGGCAGCCACAGAGCTGCCTCACACACGCTTGGACTTTGGGTTTTCTCTCTGCCGTTTGGTCTTCAGTTCCTTGCAGGCTCTGTGAGGACTGTGAGCCTTGTCACCTCAGCTTGCAGGGCCACGGAGGGTCTAGAGTCACCACACAGTATTACTGGACTTTCACACTCGAAGAGGAGTTCAAAACTGAGTTTCATTGCCTGGGAGAGAAAAACATTGTATTGCATTTGAAGAACTGGTATAAGATACGACTGTCTTTATGTCACAGGACTCTGTGGCCCGTGCACCGAGAGTCTCTTGGTATCCAACTTTTGCTAGTTCTGCTGCCCTTTGAGTAGGCTCTTTCTCTGGTCCTTTGAAAGCCCTGACAGCCTGGTTCCAGGGCAGGGTGTGAACAAGGTCAAAAGGTCAGAAAACAACAAAGAACCTGTTCCCTTCTTCCCACTGGGGGAGACCAGAGCAAAAAACGCTCAGAAAAAAAGTACTTTGTTTTTTTAACATTGTTATTCTGAGCATTGAGCAGCTGCTGCTTCTGAACATTGAGGTAAGAGATTTAGTGTTAATTTTTTTCCACGCCAGAATTTGAGACATGATTCAAGAACATTCCAACGCAGTCCCTGAGCCTTGCTTTCTTCATCGTAGAGTGGGGGTAACACCCCTCACAAAACTGCTGTGAAGATGGAGAGGACTCGGTGAGGTCAGTGAGTCTGTGTAAAGCCCCAGCGTAGTGTCTGGCTTGTGGTGGGCACTAGATATGTGGCAGAATTCAAATGACGAAAATGACTCAGCCATAGCCTTGGGGGACTTGGGCATGAATACCTCAGTCAGAGCCTGATTTCATGTGGTTTGCCTATGAGGTGGTTTAACCCTGAGGTTATGGGGTGGGGACAGGGGGTGTAGAAATTGAATGTCCCCAGGTTGGAAATGTTACTCATTTCTTTCCATAAATAAAACCAACTTAACCTTATGAAAATAATTAAGGATAGTGCCAGGTTTGTGAAGACTCCTTTGCTTCTGCTGTCTGCAGGACATCACACTGCCTGGGCTTCCTGGCCTGCTGCGATGCTGAGGGGGAAAAGGGGAAGGTGGGCTGGCCTTAGGGTGGTCTCTTGGCAGGAGCAGTGCTGGTGCTTACAGGTTTTCAGGGCTCTGCAGGCAGCAGGGCCCTGCAAATCCAGGCTTCTGTGATTTCTGTGCCCATTTTCAGAATTGGAGCAGGTCCCCCAGGTGCAAAAGCTACCTGGAGATAGGATTGTGTGGTCCCAGGGTCCCATGTGGCTTGAAAATTTTAACAGGGGCAAAAGCTTCTCATTCCCTATTCAGTGCTAAAGTGCTAACTGTGAATACCCAGAAAAAGAAACAGGAAAGGCACCTCTGATATGACTGACTTAGGCAGGAGTGATCTGTGGAAGCAGATCTGGACAGTGGGAAAGATTTTGGAGATTTCACGGGGAGGATAATGAGCTAGAAGAAGAGGGCAGAGGCCTTCAGAAGGGGATGGGCCTGGGGCCAAAGACCAGCCTTGATTCGTTCCTGCTCTGCCTGGAGTACAACCTCCGTTTTCAGGAGCAGCTGAGGCTCCGGTTTGTGTGCAGAAACACTGTCAACACTTCGAAAGTAAGCAGCAGACTACTGCCATTTAAATAAGGATTTGGGGAAACGTCTGGCTAGGCTAAGGCCTGAAATCCTCACCACACCAATTGTGTAACTCTTAATCCTGTTCGTGATGCCAACTGTAAAGCTAGACGACCACGCTAGTTGTCGGGCTCTTTTACCTGCTGGTAATCCTGCACTGACTGGGCCGATTGCTGAGCTAAGGCTGGGTCTGGAGCCCACAGACCCCTCAAGCCCATTAACAGACTGGGCCACAAATCCTCCACGTGCCAGGCTGGGTCCCCAGACCCCCCCTTCATGCAGGTCTATGAGCTAGGTAACGGGCCAAAAGGTCCTTGGAGCCATAGGTTGAAAACCATGGCTATGCGGGGTGGAGGCTGACACATGCCTGCCTGCTTCACCAAACTCTCTCTCTCTCGCTCTCTGAAGAACACTAAGACTAGCAACAAAACTAAAAGGATACATTGGGACACATCTGCACTAACTCTACACACACGCACACACGCACACGCACACACACACACACACACAGTTTGCTTACAAAGGATGCTGAACCACACCCAACTGGACCTGAGCCGAGGGCCCTGACAGAACTATTCTATTTTCCCAGCAGGAAGTGAAAGAATGAAAATAGAAAGGAGGAAAAAACTAGCTGGAGCGTGAATTTATGATGCAGAGTATTTAACGGTATTAAGATGCAGAGTGGCAGTTTAAGATTTTTATGTTGCCTCCCAAGAATTTTTGTAGTCCCTTTTGCTAACTTTTATAAGGGCTGTGTTAAGTGTGTGTGTGGTGGTGGGGAGGCGTCGGTCTCCTGCATGTGGTAGGGCGTCATCACCAACATACCTTGACATTTAGTAGAATCCATAAGATTTGGAAGAGAGAGAGAAAAAAATCAGTAAAATTTGTTGAAATCTTTCAGAAAAATATAACATAACTATTTTCAAATGTTTTTACTACTAATGAAGGCAAGGCCCCAAAAGTATTTATGGACCAAAAGCTAATGTGATGGAACAAAATTCTGTGGTTATTCTGGGTTGGAGAAATATGGTTATTTTTTTCTTCTAGATTTTCTGTACTTTTTTTAATTTCAAAGAAAATGTTAGTCCTGTATAATAATGAAATTGCAAATTTAGAATGGTTATTTTTTTTTCCTTTTTTTCTGCAATAGGGTTACATGATGGAAAACCGAATCTCAGGCTTAAAGTGTGACACAGACGTGTTTGTAACTTTTGAAAGTGACACTTTTGTTATGCTTCAGGTAAGATTCAGGAAATGTTTACTCTTTTTATACAGCATAATTTTCAAGATCAAGAGTTATCCAGAAATCTGAAGTGTTTCATATGTTTTATCTTTATCTGATGTCTTTATTTAATTGGCAGGTGTTTTCCTGTTAGGCACTTGGTATTTGCAGTAGCTGAACAGGAGATTAAATTGTTTTTCTCTTAACTGATCTTTGATGTTAAATTATATCTTTTTGGTTTAAGGAAACTACATGTACACATCAAGTCAGATTCTTCTAATTGGAAGGTTATTCCAAAAGAGTGTGTAAGGACTCAGAAGATAAACAGGCAAAAGACACGAAAAGCCAATTTACAAAAGGAAGGCAACTTATCCTCACTGATGATCGAAGAAATGCATATTAGGACATACGACAATATTATTTTCTTTTCTTTATCAACTTGGCTCATATTTAAAAGCATGTTGAAGTCTCAGAGGTGATGAGCACAGAGGGGGTCCTCGTGCATGTTGCTGTTGGACCATGTGTAATTCTACTTCTGAAACTCTTATCTTTAGGTAATAATCCTAAATATGGAAAAACTTAAAGGCACAAACATTTTTACCAGTACATTCTTCATTATAGCAATAATGTTGGAATCTAAACTTTCAACAGTAGAGAAATAATTATGTAAATCATGTTCTGGCCACTCAGTGGGGAATTATATATCCTTTAAAGTTGTACATGCAAACAGAAATTAAAAACTTATGATTGGGTATG